CAATCAAAATGAATCAAAGGTAAATCGTAATCGAATATAATTAGACCTAGAAATATGTATTATGCTTGTGATTGTTTCAACAACTTGGATATTCGAGAGAGAGTAAGAGGAAACTTGTTGAGAGAGAGAGAGAGAAATAGAAAGAAAAGATAGCTTATTATTGAAAAGATCCCCCCTTTTACAAGATTGGGATTCTCCTTTATATAATAAGAGAACCCCCTCAAAAATAATAAAATAATACAGAGATAGGTTACGTGCTTTCGAGGAGACGACGAGACCTAAGGGCACGCTTTCGCTCTGACATTCTTAGGTCGTCCCCTCTACTTCGGCTATTATTTAGTCGTGGGTCGTTACTACCGTAGTGGGCAGAATTTGACCCCATACAAATCTTATGCCTCGTCTGTTTTCTTTAAATAAGTCCTCTAAACGTTGAAAATTAGCATTCAATCGGTAACAAAGAAATATAGAGATTGAGAGAAACAAATGGTGAAAATTAAGAAGAATAGTGTGGTTATTTTAGATGAATAAAAAATTTAAATGTGAGGATGTGTCATTCCTTTTCATGGAACATATATGATCTTTGAAAAGGTGTGGTAGTTAATATGTCATTCTGTGTAAACACTACTATTCTATATAAGTTCAACACCTATAAAGAATTGTTGGACTAGAAAATTTCAGTTCTTGAAATTTTTCTCAACTTGAAATCTTCATCTTTTTGACTATTCATTCACTTTTTCATTCACTCTAACTTCTAATTTGGCCTTTCTTCTTCACTTTAACTTCTAAAAAGCAATTGAGAGATTTAACGGTTCCTTCGAACTTTTATTTGAGTATATATTAGAGTGAATATTTGCTTTTAATTTATTCAGTAATTTTTAATTGTCAATTGTTACGGTAATCATCACCCGTGACCTTGAGTATGTATTATAGCCCGTTTGGCCAAGCTGCAAAAATCAGCTTGTTTTGAGAAGTGCTTTTTTTCAAAAGTGCTTTTCTCAAAAGTACTTTTGGTGAGAAGCAGTTTGTGTTTGGCTAATTAGTTTGAAAAGTACTTCTGAGCAGCAATTAGTGTTTGGCCAAGCTTTAAAAAACTTCTTCTAAGTGAATTTTTCTCAAAAGTGCTTCTCAAAAAAGTGCTTTTGGAGAGAAGCTACTTTTTTCTGCTTCTCCAAAACTGCTTCTGCTTCTCCTCAAAAGCACTTTTTTTTTTCCTTCCAAAAACTTGGCCAAACACCTNCTAAAAAAAGTAACTTAAATGGATTCAAATTTGAGGCTAACTTAAGTAAATTACTTTTCATATTCTTTAAACTTTTTTGTTTATTTTTTATATCTACTACAATATCGTATGCACTCTAATTTGATTGAGAGAAAGATACAAGTTATTTCTGTTGCGTGATTAAAGCATTGATTATATGCTTTTCAATTTTATGATTATGAGCCCATAAGTTCCTTTCCTATTTAAATTTAGACCAACAGAGGAATTTGTTCTTTCCTTTGTTTTATTGCATGTGTTTTTGGTTATTTTAGATAAATTTTTGATGAATGGGGAATGATTGAAAAAGTGTTTACTTTGTTGTAATTTTCTATAATTTTGGAAGATTTTTCAATCAAGTGTTGTTATTTTTTTAATACTTTCAATTTTACTTAAAATTATACATTTGATTAGTTTTGAGTTTGGATCTGATTTTTATAAGTGAAAATTAGTTTAGTATTTGCCATGTTTTTTCTTTTTCTATATGAACTAATTTATAAAATGATCACTAACAAACTCACGGTTATTTATTTATTTATACAATCGCGCGAAGCGCGAACAAGTTAACTAGTTTATGAGATAAAAAGAGGTATCACACAACTAGTATCAATTGTGTGAGACACACCATAAAACTTCTCAATTGGGATACGTCTTAATATAAGTCAAGGGTATTATTAAAAGCAACAAGTTGTTATCAAACTTAAAAGGTAGAATAGTTCGGGACCTCCCTGAACTTGGCAACTTTTATTTAGTTCCCCATTAAACGTTACGTGGTATTTAATACACCTCTACTTGGCATTTTAATAGCCTCAACCCTTGGGTGCGGACAATCCATGAGAGTATGACACACGCGCTGCCACATGATTTTTTTTTGTCTATGTGGTATTTTTTTATAATATAATATATTTTTTACCTTTTTAAGTACACCAATTATGTAAATTATTTTTTCCGTGCCAATCTATAAAAAACTTGGAACAATACTATTTTGATAATAATTTTTTATTTGGCTAAAGATAATAATATTTTAATTAAGTTATTTTTACATAATTGATCAGAAAAAGAAGGAATACACAGTTAAAATACTCATTGCATATAAAGAAATAATATTTAAAAAAAATTGTTAGAACCCCATATCTTGGCTAAAAATAATAAAATTCCAACCAAATATTTATGAATTTGACCCGAATAAGAATAATGCATAGTTTAAACTTAGTCATTTCATGAAAAGAAAATACAATACTTTTTCTTTTTAGAAAATACACCATTTGAACTTAATTACTTTAGCTAAACCTTGAGTGTATTCACGCTCTTTGTCACATCGGCGTCTGGGAGGGGGGGGGGGGGGGGTAGGGGGGACGAGTCTATCAAATTTCCAAGTTTAGAGGGTATTAAAACCAATCATAAAGTTTATGGAAGAACTAAACAAAAGTTTCTTTGTTTAGAGGGATCCCGAATATTTCTTCCAATTTAAAATCAAACATTTGTTTTAAATAAGATATAGTATGTCCAGATTAAACATGAAGAACCAAATATTCAATAATCAAATAATATACAAGTCAAAAAATTTAAATATAGAAGAATCAGGTACCCCGATTAAAAAAAGGCCGTGGGGTGCCATTGGCAAAGTCTCAAATTTGGATAAAAATAGCACGGGCTAGCCAGTTCGGACTGATCATTCAAAAATAGCTAGCGTTTGCAAAGTCATTGAAAAATAGCCACTATTTTGCTGCAACACAAAAAGTTCCAACATAATATACTGGAGATCGGTGCACCTGTGTATGAACTTCTGGCATATTATGCTGGAACTCCAACACTCAGAAAGTTCCAGTATAATATACTGAACCAGTATATTATACTGGAGTATTTTTCCGGATTTTGAACAGTGTTTTTGTTCAGATTTAGATTTACATAAAAAGTGGCTAAATTAATTATTTTTGAAACTGTAGCTATTTTGTAATGAGTACTTGTAAATCTAACTATTTTTGAATTTCTCCCCAAATTTGGCTCCCAAAGACATGAGTTCGATCCCAGTTTTTCTTCATTATGCTATCAAAATCTTATCTTAGCCCATTTCAACTTTGCATTATTTTGCTTGTATCAACCATTATCATTTATTCCCTCCGGTTTACAGTGATCAATTTGCCTTGGACACGCCTATTAAGAAAATACTAAATTCTAGATGAAAATAGTTAGTGTGACTAGATTACCCTTAATTAAATGTTGCAGCATAATTTAATGTGAGAAGTAAAAGACTTTTTAGGAATACGTACATAAGGGTAATTTGGAAAAATAAATAAAATTTTTTCTTAGATTATATAAACGGTACACTTATTTGAACCAAAATTAAAAAAGGCAAAATTGGTACACTTATTGTGGACCGCAGCGAGCATCGATGAAGAGGGGAATTTTTTTTTTTTTTTTACAGGTAGTAACAATTTCAGTATA